CACCCTAGACAACACGAGATACACACACACACACAGATATATATATATATATATATATATAGAGAGAGAGAGAGAGAGAGAGAGAGAGAGAGAGAGAGAGAGAGAGAGAGGTCACCGTCAACATCACGAGTAGTAGTAAGAAAAGAGGGCAGAGATAATCCAAGAAAATTCAAGATGAAATCTCTGACACAAGTGTGTCAACATCACATCCTCATCACCTTGATGGTGTGCTGAACCATCAATGAGCACAAGCATGGGCTTACATGACCAGCTTACATATGTATCTTCAAGAGCGAAAAACAAAAAAAATATGTACATGGGTCACTACAAAAGTTACATGTAACCCCAACAACATTCGGGTCTACGATTGTGGCATCTCTCTGTTCCTCGATTCTCTCTTTCTCCTTCATCTGCTGCATACATCTGAGATAGCCATTCTTGATCTCCTCGTTAGAATATCCGGACTGTCAGTAGCAATTGCCATTCCTTAGACCACCAGTATAGCCGAGCCCATGAAACCACCCAAAAAAAGCAAACACATACATTACAAATTTATGCTCCATTATTTGACAATCTGAGTGGTCTTATCAAGTGGCCGCTTTTAGGGGCCCTCATCGTTTTACTTATTCCTAACTCGAAAATACGGTTGATACGACGTATTGCGTTTTGCACCTCTTTGATCACTTTTTTATACTCTCTGTTGTTTTGGATACAATTTGAGAATTCTACAGCTAAATTGCAGCCTTCCACTGCACGCCAAGCTTTTCCTAGCCGCCAGCGGCGCACTTTTTCCCTTTTCCGGCTGGCGCCGCCAGCCATTGTGGTCCTGTAGTAAGGCATGAAATTTTCGAAGTAGGCTACAAAAAAACATTTTCTGGAAGGCTGGGGCCGTGTACCGGCAGTTTAACGCATACTCGAAACATTTTCTGGAAGGCTGGGGCCGTGTACTGGCAGTTTAAGGCATACTCACACGAGGCGCTCTCTATGCATCTGACTGCCATCAGACCCAGATTCCATCCCAAAAAGTCAACCGTATCTGACTGCCAACAGAGCCAGATTCTGCCCAACAAATATAAATGTGACTCTGAGTGTATGCTGCTCCGGGTTAATTCCCAAAGCAGAGCTGAAAAAGTGTCCCTTGTGCGCAAGAGGCCCACCGATTTGCAAAATGGTCTGGAGATATGACATCGTTATCATTTTGTAAAAACCTCCTCTTTGAAATTTTGTTAAAATCTGCTCGTAACCAGCTGGCCTAGCTCAGTTGGTACACTCCTGACCTGTTGAAATACAGACCTGAGTTCAAACTCCACCGGCCGTTCAGTTCAAGGCCGTCACCCTTAAAAAAAAAAAAAAAAAAAAAAAAACTCCTTGTGCTGCACAATCACAATCACAAGAACCAAGAACAAAGGAATCTGAGCGCATAGTTGCACAAGTACTTTGCGCATAGTCGCACAAGTACTTTTCCGGCAAGTACCGTTCACCTCGTTTTTTACCAGATTTGGTTCAGTCGATAAGAGAATTAATTGATGCTATGAGGTATTGAGGAACTCAAAAAGTCAAGGTACGGCCAAGACTTGAGATACGGTTACTTCGTCATAGAGTCATTCATCAGTGTGGCCTGGTTATTACTTGTCAATATACTTGAGAACAAGTTGAACGAGCGGCTTTGGAAACTGACTTCTTTCCAAACAAGTCGAAACAAGTCAATCAAAACCATATTTCTGATTTCCCCCCCACAGTCAAGCAGACACCATTTTCTGGACGGAAATAAATAAAGACCAAATCAAATCAATGACTGAATCAAATCAACGACCAAATCACGTCAGCGGCCAAATCACGTCAGCAGCCAAATCAAGTCAACAACCAAATGAAGTCAATGACCAAATGAAAACAAGGATCAAATAAAATCAAGAGATTGAATTTTTTTTGAAACATCTGCCAAAACTGTTTTGCTCTCTGTGCAGGACAGGAGCTATATCTTAGGGCAAACTTTCATGGCAGGTACGACGAACTTTCACTCAACGTACAACAAGCTTTCACTGAACATAAAAGTTTGGAAACCAACCTCTGCCTCTCAAGCATGTGTGTGTGCGAGTGCATCTGGGGAGCCGGAGGGGGGCCGGGGGGGGGGGGGGAGGTCACTCCTCTCTCATTCCAGCTCTATTCACAGGTAGTTTAACGACCCCCTTTTTTACTTCATCCTCCTTAGGGCAAGGAGGGGCAGGAGGGGAGGGAGGTAAGGAGGTGCATTCAATTTACCACATGTATGTTGGGGGGAGGGGGGAGGGGGGACGGGGAACGCGGGAGGTTCAACACTGGTTTTCCTTGACATCCGTTTCAGCATATCTTTTACATTCAGCTAGTGGGATTCAAATCCACAAGGTGCGAAGCGCCTCCACTTCCTAAGTGTGGTTTGTATCCAACAGAAACCAACTACCACCCATTGCAGCTGCCTCTGCAGATGCTACCAATAAAATGCCGCCTAAGTAATTGTCAACTCTAGGTCTTCATCCTCCTCAAGGATAACATCATCGACATCGTCGTACTCTTTCGGTTTCGATTCGCTCGGAGGCAGTGGAGTCAGAGGAAGCCCCATGTTCGTTCGTCCTTTCCTTGGCCTTGTCTGCATCCAAAGAACCACACGCAACACTCATCAGCGCTCTCTCTCTCTCTCTCTCTCTCTCTCTCTCTCTCTCTCTCTCTCTCTCTCTCTCTCTCTCTCTCTCTCTCTCTCTCTCTCTCTCTGTGTGTGTGTGTGTG